CTCCATGCTGAATGCCAGTGTGGCACCCTGCACTGCAGAGTCTCCTCTATGGAGAGTCCTCTCCTTGAAGGGGAGACCCAGGCTCCAGAGGAGTATCACGACTTTGTTGACGTCATCAGTAAGGTTAAGGCACTTGGTCTCCCTCTGCACCGAGAATCGGACTGCACAAGCAAGCTGATGGAGCTGTCCATGCCAAAGGGTCAGCTGTTCATGCTGTCCTGACCATAAGAGAAGGCATGGACGTGTACGTTAAGGAGGCTCTGGCACAAGTTGTAATCTACCAAATCACCTCTCCCATCAATTCTGGATTTTTTCTTTGTTAAAAAGGACCGAAGTCTCCACCCATGCATCAACTCTCAAGCCCTGAACGCTATTACCTGTAAGTGCTGTGAGCCCTTGCCTCTGATCTCCTCAGCTCTAGAGCAGCTCCGTGATTCCCAAATCTTCACCAAGCTTGACCTCCAGAGCACCTACAACTTGAACCATATCCAAGCTGAAGATTAGTGGAAGATGTCTTTCATCACCAATTTGAATATCTGGTCATGCCTTACAGGTTAGCTAACAGTCCTTTAATTTTTTTCCAAGTTTCATGAAAATGTCTTCCCTGATTTGCTGAACAAGTTTGTGATTGTCCACATCATTGATAACCTGGTTCACTCTGCCTCTCTCCAAGAACACGTCTACCACGTTTGGAGGGTGTTGCAGCATCTCTGAGAAAACAACCTGTTCATTAAAGGTAAGAAATATGAGTTCCACCATACCACCCTCAGATTTCTTGGAATCTACCCTGGAAGTGTGAATATGGACGAAGGGAAGGTGAAGGCCATCCAGGACTGGTCCCAGCCTTGCGCGGTAAAGAAGCTCTAATGTTTTCTGGGCTTCGCTAACTTTTATCGCTGGCTTATTTGAGGGTTCAGCCCAGTGGCTGCCCCTCTCACTGCCCTGCTACAAGGCCATCAGGCCACGCTCAGCTGGAACCCAGAAGCAGAAAAGACACTTCCATGCCTCAAAGACCTCTTATGTTCAGCGCTGGTTTGGCAACAACTCAATCCCACGTTGCTCTTCGTTGTTGAGGTAGATGCCTCTGAGGTAGAAGTAGGAGCCACGCTCTATCAGCATCAGGGGTGAGAGAAGTTGCATCCCTGTGTTTTGTTTTTCAAGAAGCTGAACCCTGCAGAGAGAAACTACAGCAATAGGGAGCTGCTGGCCGTCAAGTTGGCACTGGCAGAGTGGCAACCCTGGCTAAAGTGCACCAACCACCCGTTCAAGGTGCTCACCAACTATGGTAACCTTAAATAGTCCACTAAGTCCACTAAGCATCTCACCCCATGACAGGCTCGGCTGACAGTCTTGTTTACTCATGACAACTTCAAAGTGTCGTATCTCCCCGGGGTGAAGAACTCCAAGGCGGATGCCATCTCTCATCAATTCATGCTTCCAGTCAAAAGCAATGAACCAGTACCAATTTTACTTGACTTGTTTTCTCAGTCCTGTCACTTGGGACATACAGTAGACGACACAGTTCAAGAGGCTAAATATCATGAGCCTGTCCCAACCAGCTGCCCCAATGGAAAGGTCTATGTCCCTTCCACCCTTTGGATGACCACCATGCAATGGGTACATACCTCCCTCAGCTCAGGGCACCCTGGTTTCTCCACTACTATGTGCCTTCTTGCCCAGAAATACTGGTGGCCTGACTGGAGAAGGGGTGGTGGAAGAGTTTGTGCTTTTCTGCTCAGTCTGCACCAAACACCAGGCATACAACCAAAAGCCTGCTGGCCTTCTGCAGCCTCTTCCCACGTCACAACATCCATGGTCCTGGTGGTAGACCAGTTTTTGAATTTTCCCACTTGTGGAGAACCTCATGACCTGCTTTTCAGATTCTGTGGTGTTCGGATAGGCATTGTGACTGACCTGGGGCCACAGTTCACCATGGGGGTCTTTCATACATTCTTGTTCTTGCCATAACATTAAACCAATGGAGTGATGGAGGGAACCAACCAAGAGGTGATGAAGGTCCTCCAGCTGCTGTGTGCTGACCCTCCTGCTCACTGGGCCTGCTACTTGCCCTGGGTGGAGTGTGCTCTGAACTAGCATCCTCAGCCAGACACTAACCGGTCTGTTTGTGTGTTCTGGGATATCAACCGCCTTTGTTCCCTTGAGACTTGAAACCCAGTTCTGTCCCAGCAGTGGAGGACTGGTTCAAAAATAATCGAATAATCGTAGGGTATGGCAACGGATAGACCAGATCACCAGAGACAGAAACACCAGGTTGACCACCACCATCTCCCGGGGCCCATTCTCCGACCCGGTCAGTAGATTTGGCTGTCCACCCGGAACCTCCACCTCCCAGGTTGCCACAAACTGGCCTCCAGGTACATCAGCCTGTTTCATGTGATCCAGCAAATGGGGTCCGTAGCCTTCTGTCTACAGCTGTCCTGCATCTACCGGATTTCACCCATGCACCTGGATGATGGTGAGGCCTATGATGTATATCCTGTTCTTGACTACAGGCATCGCTGGGGATAGCTCCAATACCTAGTGGAATGGGAAGGTTACCGCCCTGGGGAATGGGCCTGAATTCCAGCAACAGATAACCTCGACCCAGACCTGTTCTCTGCCTTCCACTGGGATCACCTGGATTAATCCTATCCTCTGCCCCAGGGCCAGCCCCGTCGCTGTCCTTGGCCGCCAGGTGGCAGCCGTCGGAGGGGAGGGGGATCCTGTCACGCCCTCCTTGTAAGTATGCCAGTTTTCCAAATAGCCCCACCAGGTGCTGGGTTTTTAAAACCGGAGCTACCTCTCACTCAGTGCAAGGAATTATTCTTCCATGTGTTGGCATACTGAGCATTTCTTGCTTGTCTGCCATGTAGCCCTGGACCAACCTGCTTGTCATGTTCCTGTCTGTTCCTGGTTTTCAGAGATCCCTGTGTTCTCTCGACTCCCGTCCTTCGTCTTCAGTGTCAGACCAACTTCCACTACACTCCACTACAATCCAGCCTCTCAATTCTGCCTTTGATTGCCCAGCACAAAATAAAACCTCCTGCTTGCTCTGCACCTTGATCACTAGCAAGTTTTCTATCATGACAAGATGCAGGCAACAAAAAAGAGGTAGTGAAGTGAAAGTGAAAAAAGAGATGAAATGCAAGTTTCACTGAAAGGCTGTTGCATTAAACATGCCTGGACTCACAGTCATGTTGAACATTCATCATAAACAACAACATTTTCTAAAAACCGAAATGCACCGATAGGGGTCCCTTGACAAAGTGTCACATTGGGCACCCCAATCAATGTTTTATATAATTTTGCATATTCAATATTGTGCTGGGCCCTGAATCTGCCAGGGTATCCATGCCCCTCAAACACCCATGCAGTCATGCACTCTGTTTGATACAAAGGATTATTTTTAGGGAAAATTAAAGAAACCCTCAGTCCACAGTGCTTAGTATTATCATGTACTAGTAGGGGATCCCTGGTTCTGGTATATCTTTATTTGGTGGCACTTAGTTTAAGAAAGGTTAAAAAGCCAATACTAAAATTGACCAATAGGGTAAAAAGTTCAGTAGTCCTTTTTTTGATAAGGATGGATCCATTACTCCTGCAGAATCCTAAAGCACTTGCAATTCAAACCAATCAACCAATTCATCAGTCAAGCATGTTGAAGCAGTACTAAGTAGATCCATAAATCAATAATCCAAATAAATCAGTCAGAGAAACAATGTCTAAATTTGACGTAGTGATTAACTAATCCCAAGTATATAATCAAAATAAGATAAGAATGTCATTACGTTTATATTAAATAATACACATTAGTTACTATTATTTATTCATTCACAAGTGTTAGTTTTTATATGAATGACTCCTTACTTTACGAGAGCAACTGCTCTTTATAAAACCTTCATAACAGATATTATTTTCATCTGTGTATAACATAGTTCGTTATGTTCCTCATTAATATCGTAATCAATAGCTGTAATATGACAGTATTAAGCATTTAATTGTTCAGTTTCTAAAGCATTTCTATATATTCAATCAAATTAAAAGGCTGATCAGTAGTTTACATCGTTATATTATATGCATGCTGTTCTTGGTTATGCTTCTAAATGGCGGAGACAACATAAGCGGTACAGCATTGATCCAGTCTTGTTGCACGAAACATTATTTTGTGTACGGCTGTATTATGCAAAGATATTCATTTAGTATGATTTAAAATACTGTTACAATGTTTACTGCGTGATTCGGTCTTCTTGTCGCTTAGCCAGCTGCTGTGAAAGCGATTGTGCAAGTCCGTTTGGCAGGCTATTCGCCATCTGGAGAACATTACATTAGAGCAGACGTGAAGCCAACCCTGCTTGCATGGCCGCTGGAGACCAAAATACGTGTCATTATTATTATTATTATTGTTTTTCTCACTATTAAATAGATCAAAATCCTAAAGTTAATTAATGAATTTGCGATTGCTGTTAAGGCATCACTTAACCATAATATATCAAACGGGAAAAGGGAGGCTAAAGACTAATCTTAAAAGTATGCAACATCCTTAAAAAACAGCTTGAAAACAGATGTGTATTTTTAGTAAACACATTGAGGGAACATCCCCATAGAGCATGAATTGGACAAATCATTAAGCTTTAAGCATTTATGTCAAACTCTTCAAGTTTTCCAGTGTATCTCTCGCTTGTATAACGTGTATATGTGGGCCGGAGAGATGCCGCATTGAACAATGTACAGCGCGAGCATATTTGAATTAAATGTGGACTATCCATCTCTCCCCACGAACAAATGCATTGATCGGCAGCTATCTGGGAAGTCTGTACCCAAATGCAAGTTTCTAAGCGCACATTCCGCTTTTAACACAACTGCGTTCACATTTTTATGGAGTACATTGATATAATTCTACCCAGAAATCCATGTTAAAATCACGGTGGAATTCCATAATGTTAAGAATCCATTTCCGAAAAAAAGGTTTACAACCACAATATAGGTAATGAAGATCTTACCTGCAATCGCTCTGTCGCGGGTTGCCACATACTATTAATGAAATCGCAGGTTTCCACTTAGTTCACAGCTGGATTGTCCCTGATGTAGCCCCGCTCACATCTGCTTGCGTCTCCCCCTCCGCAATGCTGGGCAATCGGCAGAAAATAAGGCAGTGAATTCCAATGGTACGCAGGGACGGAGCTCCGCCTGCAATTGCACGGCGCGTTTTCCCCCACCAAGGGGCGCTGGCGGAGAAATCAGTTGTTATTAGTTCAAAGAAACCGCTAGCGGCAAACGAAAGAAACGTGTACAAAACTACAAAATATGTAGGGGGAATTCAACAGTATTACTTACATTTTGTTTACTTATAACGCAGGTAGGCAGTGTTTTCCGTAATATACAGTAAGGGTGATAATAATAAAATTAAAACATTTCAAGATGTCAAATGTTTATATGTAAAATGACATTATTCACATTCAAACATATTTCTCCCACCTGCAAATTGCTGGTGTATTGAAGGATTCTACAGAATGTTTCTGGAATTCCTGGAGTGGGACCAGCTTCCTTCGGGGTAACATTACACTGAAGTGGTGAAAGGAGAAGACCACCCATTTTCCATGTTTGGAGTGGCCAAGTATTCCAGTTATAGCATTTTGTTTGTGGATTTTTCAGTTTTTCCATCCCATTCCATCTACAGGGAGTATATTTGTCATCAGATATTCTATCTTTTTGGTATGTGTGTACAGTATATAACATATCTTTGGGTTTTTATAGCATTGATGAGTGTCTTTGTAAGCTTAACTTTCTCTGTGCAACGAGGTATGCAACAGTGAATCTTCTACTTGCAAAGTCATCCTCTCTTTAATGATACTTGTATGGGTAGGGAATAATGTTAGAATCTTCATCATGTGTTAAGCCTGTTCTTCTGACTGTTTTCTAAGGGAGATCAAACATGAATAGGGAATAAATGAATCAATCACCCATCACCCTGTACATTCAGTATACTAGTGTTAAAAAAAATGCCATTTTATAATTTTATAGATTTCGAAGGAGCAATCTGCAGGGAAACATTTAAAATCAAATATTTATTGAGTTAGTAAAAATGAGACCTAATAATAGACACACACGCACAAGTGGCTTTCACTTGAATCTTTTTAATTACATCATTCCACATAGAATAAATCACAGAGTAAAAAAGAAAATCATGACCCACGATGAAGAAAAGAAATAGGTCAGGCCTTGTTGAAGAATAGAAAGAACTGGCCCTAAGCATAACCTGATCATTATGTACACATAGGAAACCATGCCTGAAACACAGAAGCACATTTACGGCGGGGTCACTAACTTTTCATCTTTTACCTAGCAATGGTGTTGTCCTCAGAGGACAACAACAAAACACTGTAAAATGATCTACCAATTTTTATTTGTGTTATAGTAATAAGGAATACGACCAAGTAAAAGGTAGTTTTTGCCTCCACAAAACACTGGCAAAAGTTTCCCCAACACCACACACTATCCAGAGAACTAACCAATCACTAAATAAAGTATACACTAAACAAACAAAGATATGCCTAAGGATTCAAAATAATGTAGAAACCATCACATTTACCCATGCACTAAAAGAGGAAACCTACTGCAGGTTTTTAGTCTATCATAGTTCACCATAACTGCACTTATTACTCTAACATCTGGAATGGCGTATATCTGCTTAGAAAGGTAACATGTAGCTGCTGAGTCAACTTTTTTAAATCTACGGAGACCTTCTGTAGTATTAAAGTAGACTGTAAAAGAATTTGATTCTACTAACCAGCAGTGGTTGCATACATGGAGATTTTACTAACCACTTAGTTTAAGTTATAATTAATCTATGGTATAATGACATTTGATGTAGGGGAAAGTTTATGTTGGTGTTTTGAAATTTATCTATCTATTTATTTTTACAAATCCTTTGTCTTGATCAGAGTAACAAGTGGCTTGTCATCAGGACTGTAATCCTCATAGGAGATGGGTGTTGCATCATACATGGCAGGCCTGGACTTCTTCCCAAACCTGAGAAAAGAATACAAAATGCATTAGATTAATAAAAAAACATACATCCATTGGGTCTGCATATCATAATATATACTGAATCTGTCTAACATGGTTGTGAAGGTACGAGGATTTACTGGATGTTAGGGTCCTAGGGAGAAGTTTGAAAACTGGATGAGTGGTGAAGAATTGGATTCTCTCTCAAACATAAGCATTTATATCACCAATAAGTGCATGTGCAACAAAAAATACTAACAATATTGATTAGTATCCAAAGTCAGTAATACTTTTTGTTCTGTTTGAGTATTCCTCCAAAACCATTGCTTCATAGGTCTGACAAGTCCATCTCTAAGATAGAGTGTCACAGAGACTCACCTGGCATGGCGGATGGATGCAATGGCATTATTGAACTCGCTGTCGATGCTGCGGCAGTTGTAGAACTCCTGGTATGCATGCCGAGAAGAGCCCTGGTATTCGATGCGACTGATGCGACAGATTCCAACAATGAGGATGATGAGCATAAGAATGAAGGCTACGCACAGAGCACCGATGATGATATAGAGAGAGTGGCGTGGCATGCTAGTCAAAGAATCATCTGGGTGAGCTGCCTTCCACTGCAAATCTGGGACAGACAATAACACAAACATTTACTGTTATAAGGCAAGAACATTCTGCACCATTTTAACACTGAAAATGGATGAATATTTAATGCTACTCACAAATCTCACAATTTGGTCCTACCCATCCTTGTTGGCAGTGACAGATAAAGCCATTTGATTGGTCAATACAGGTAGCTCCATGATGGCAAGGATTGCTGTCGCATTCATTGATGTCAACTTCACAGTTTTCACCTGGATGAACAGAGCATATAAACTCTGAAGGGGTAAAAACCCATTTCTTTGAGCAGGTTTGTGAAGGGGAAGAACAGGCATCCTCCCTATGGTAGGGCCTGCTGTTTAGATGCAAAAGCTCACAGGTAGTCAAAAAAGAGCACCAGAATGGTGCTGAGACTCATCCAAATAACTAGGAAAGCACATAGAAATAATATTGGCACTCACCCATATAGCCAGCAGGGCAAACACAGGTAGCATTCAGCCCCTCACGATCACATGATCCTCCATTCTGACAGTGAACTTTCAGACATGGGTCCTTGTAGACCTCACAGTGTCTTCCTGCACACACAATGCACATGTCAAAAACATTTCCTTCCATATACCCACATTCTACCATCTCACAAATATCTTAAGCAAATTTACTTTTGAAGTACCACTTTCTCTCTCACACTAAAACATGCAACCCACCCTCGTACTGTACAGGGCATATACACTCATAGGCATTGACCAGGTCCCGGCAGGTGGCGTGGTTCTGGCAAGGCGCCGACAAACACTCATTATACTCCTCTTCACAATATAACCCATGGTAACCTGCCAAAGAAACACAGTATAAGTTACAAATAGGAGTGTATTACTTATGTATGGTACCAGTCAAACGTTTGGACATGCCAGCCTGCCTATAAAGGTGAGTGATACAGTGTGACATCACAAGATCTGGCCACCTAACCTAAACACAGTAGAAGTGGTTTTGGAAGTGTTTGACTAGAGAGTGAAGGAAAAACAGGCCAATGAGTGCTCAGCATATGTGGGACCTGCTTCTGGACAGCTGGAAAAGTATCCCAGGAGGCCATATCATGAAACTGGCATACAGGAGAAAGTAGGGTCAACCAGTTCCTGGAGCAATTGGGATTAAGAGCATTGCTCCAGGGCCCAGTGGTGGAATCACTTTGCCAACCACAGGATTTGAGCTGGCAACCTTCTGAGTCACTAGTTACTTAATACTTTTCATGAAAGTGCATTGCTCTTGGGTTTAAAAAAAATTCAACTTTTTTAGGATATTGCATAAACATAATAAGAAATGTACTAATTAAACAAAAAAATACCATTTCTAAAAAGCATGCATGTATAGATTTTACATAGCCATTTATTCTACCTTAAAAATATTAAATGACAGAGGAGCTGCAGATTGATTTTCAGTGTTCTTTTGTTTTGCACTTCAGGTCACCATATAGACCGCAAGGCAATTTTATTTATTTATTTGTTTCTTTCTTTGTTCGTTTATTTGTGTATGTGTATTGATGTATACAGTCGCGCAAAAAATTAAGAGACTGCAGCACAATTTTTTGTTTCACTCATTTCTCAGTTTCTGGGTGTGCATTTGTGCATGATATATTTTTTTGCAAACTGCAGCCTGGTCCTTCCCTGTTTCTCCTTAATGAAGGGCTTCTTTCTTGCATTATGGGACTTTAGTGCTGCATCTAGGAGCCTGATACCAACTGTCCTAGCAGTGCACTTTACTCCTCCATTTAAGGTTTCCTATTCCTTTTGAAGGTCACTTGATATCCTACTAATCATGAGATTTTGGATAAGTTAACAGTCATCTCTGGAAATAGAAAGTTGCTTCTGCCCTTTACGTGGCTGGTTTCTGGTCATTCCCAGTGTCACCTGCTTCACCTTATTCTTGTGTATTGAAAGTGCATTACTTTCTTAGAAATTTTGAACCTGGAAGCAACCTGCTGCTCAGTGTAGCCCTCTGCCAAACCAGGATTTAAAAATACAGATTTGTTTAAAAATAGAGTGGTTTCTTAAATTTACTACGTGGCTATATATACATACATGCATACACACACACACACACGCATACACACACACACACACATATATATATATATATAGAAGCTAACAAACATCACTTTAAATCAGCTACATTTATAAAAATTAATACATTTTGAGAATAAAGATATAATTTTATAACACAGAAGAGATTCGATACATTTCTTATATCTAGTCAGAGCGGCCATGACATTTTTTTCTGTTGAAAAGGTTGTTTTGAATGGAAAAGTTTTTATTACTTCAATGCACTATTTTCATCTGGCCACTAGGATGCAGTGTTGCATAGAATTGTGCTCAGTGCTCAGACATGATAATCCGATATCTGATTCCATGCCATCAAGCAAGCTACCGTGTCCAAGGTCAAAAAAGAACAAGGTGAAACAAGGTTAGAAGGTGACAAAACAAAGAAACTTCTATTCGAAAAACATGAAGGCAGTTATAGTCAGTGGGACAAATCATACACATGACACTTCATATCTGATAAAGAAACTAAAACAACACAGGTGACAATAGTCCAGAAAATCATATTATGGTAAATGTCACATTCTCTGGGGCTGAAATCCTATTTCTTCTGAACTAACTTAGACTAATATATTTAACTCAAGAGAAAGCTGTGACATCTGCGTCTGCAACATGAAACAGCTGGATTATGTATCAGAATGAAAGAATGCAAATTGTTACACATTATTACAATCATGGCATATGAGCAAATCTATTTGGAGCTGTTATGAGAATAATTGTTGTACATCGCTGTTATGCTTTTGGATAAGGCTGTCTGTGAACCTGTGCAGTCACTGCAAGCGATGAGACCATCTGCAAGCACAACATCAAGTGGTTGCATCTCCATGGCAACCAGACTGCAGCGGGGGGAAAAAAAACATCCTCAGGACACGCCAGGGGAAGGTGACAAAGAAAAGCAAAGGAGCAAAGATAAGGGATGGGAGCTGACCAATTTACTCACCACTGACCACGGATCACACTATTGACAGACTGCTCTGTAAGTTCTTGTTATTTTTATATATTAACATTGTCATCTTGCTTTGCAAATTTAAAGATATCAACACCGGAGATGAGGAAAGCTGCCTATTAATAATTTTATTTATACCTTCATTTACATATTCTAATGAATGCCATATATTACACCTTGGTACTGAGACACACACACACAGATTGCACAAAGTGAGTACCTGGAACACAGAGACACCTGTAGCTGGTCCCTACACTGCGGCAAATGCCATGAGCACAAGGGTTGAGGGCGCAGAAGTCGACCAGCTGAGCGCAGGTGGGACCCGTGAATCCTGGCGCACAGCTGCAGCTGAAGCTCTGCTCATCCGAATAGCATGTGCCATTATTGTGGCAGGGCGATGAAGCACAAGGATTGATTTTCTGCTCACACATCCATCCTTGGTAACCTACATACAGAATGTGAATGGGGTACAAGGTGGTTATTCAGCTCTCTCAGACCATCTTATTAACAATAAAAAAGAATAATTATGGAATGAAATTTGCAAGATCTCGTGTTTAATTTTAATCATATGTAAAGTCAAAAGCCCCACACCCTACACACTGGTTGTAAGCTTAAATAGCAAAATGACCCAATAAGAACTAAAATAGCTATTAAAACCATGACACTATCCCATTTTATGAACATTAACCAGAGCTTGACCATAACCAGATGCACTAAAAATAAACGTATCACATCTACATTAACCATTCATAATCCATCCTGCTGGTCACTAAAAATGCATCTGAGAATAAAATATTGTTCTCTTATTTCTGCTACCATGGCAATGACCCAAATAAAACAATATCTGAAATATCTACCTTTCTGAAAGTAGGATGATCCACCCTACTGTAAATTTATTCAGAAGAAATGAAAATGCACCACAGAACGAATCTGGCTTAGGTTTGTAGCATTAATGACTTTGAAGATTTGACAGTGCCATATTATCACTAAAACATGACTGTGCAAATCTGTGGTCTTCACTCTTATTCTTTATTAATAAAACAAGCCATTTGTGAATTCCCTGTATATTTGTTATGGCGCATGGAACATACAGTCATATGATTTAAAATCACACCTGTCTTTACCTATTAATTTATGTTAAATGGACAACTTTAATTTAAACTGCATTCCCTAACTACTGCTGCCTTTGTAGAATGTGCCATCTTTTCATAGTAAATAAAATCCATATTATGGTTACATAATATAGTTGTGACAGTAAGTAAATCTGGTATTGTGAAACAGTAATACATGTAGCTTCCTCAAGGTTAGACTGGTCTACTTCAGTTTCAGTGTTAAAGCAAGGGATCTGGCCTAGTTACTTACAGAGGGAGTCTGAAGGTATTCAGGACATAGTTCCATATAGCTATTGCTGTTTGCACAGAAGCTTCAATCAATAAATGAAAGACTTTCCAGTGTTTCATTTTTAAGAACAAAAACATCATTCTGTATTCTGTTAAATATAAGCTAAACTTTTAGTAGATTCTTTTTAAGAAACGACTCACAGTTAATCAGATTAAAATGTAATTTTTTATCTACACGTCCTTGTGGAACCACATGAGGGTATTTACACAGTTTGTCACTTATCATAACAAACAATAAAGAACAGAATGATGAGCAGTGAGAAGGAACACTGAAATGAGGTTTGCTATTTCTGTGTGTCTCAGAAGACTGGAGCACCACATGGGTAAGCACTAAACCTTGCAATTGCTGGAGACAGACTTCAAGATTCAGGGTTTAAATTTAGACGAGCCAGGCAGAGTCCAGCTCCGCCTCCTTATGTCCAAACTGCACCTTGCCGGAGAACAACCTCAACTCCATCAACCTTTTTAACTTTTTTTCCTCATCCTCATCATCATCCTCATCATCTGCCGCTTGTCCGGGGTTCGGGTCACGGGGG